ACAGCACACGTCTTTGGACAGTCGTTGGGAGATCCCAGACAGTCTGGATCAAACGGAAGCTTGTCTTGAGGTACAAGTGATGAGTGGACGTTCTCTGGTACTGTACGATCAGAAGATGACAAAAATTAGGTTAAGCAGCCGTTGTTAACCCGGATCAACAGAAAAGAGTTAGCATCAGGAAAGAGACAAAAAAAAACAAAAAAAACACGAGAGCATTCGAAAAGTGGACTTTCCATCATCAGGGTTTCATTTCTGATGCTAACTGTGTCAACGCAATAAATTATTTTTACCAGTATTATCCCGATTGATCTTGTTTATTTTAAGCATAAAACTGTGTTCTGCTCCCCACGGGTATCGATACCTGATTTTACGCGTTATAAGACCTCAGGTCTTCTGCTGAGCCGCCAAGGTGCTATTCCTATTTCTGGAATATTGTTATATGTTTACTTGGTTGTTGAGTTGGGTAATTTTTATCTTTAAATGCTGCCTCCAGGGTTTGATACTTCCGAGTATGGTAGCAGAAGATAATATATTACTTTACTGTAGTTATTTTCTGATGACCCAAGAGCGCCATCTTTTTTTTTAATGTTTTTTTTTTATCACAAAAAAAAAGTTTATAAAATCGATAAAATGGAATCTTCATCGATTTAAATTGTAAACTTGTGAGGTTTTTACCCTGAATTTTTTTTTCACTAGTTTGTTTCTGTTTTCTCTTCGTATTCCATGAATGAATTAAGACTTTGTTTGCGCCGTTGTTTCTGAAGCATTTGCAAATTACAGCTTGAACAATGGAGATCATTTTACTTTCCCTATCAACTGTATTCTTTCAGACATTCGCGTGCTCGTCCATTTGTGCTTCGAATTTCAACACAAAGCTACGCAACAGCTATCAGTGAGTGCAATCCTCAATTATTAAGATAATCTAGAGGGAACGCCACTGGCCAACAGTACCCACCGCCTACTCTTGGGCTACTTTTCTTTGACTGAAGAGTGAGATGTAACAGGGACTTTTATGGCAGGCACACCCATGGCCCTGAAGTGCGGAGCTCGATTTTATGGCAACGGGACACGAACCACGAATTCTTAGGCCACATCCAGACCTTATTTGCTTCTTTTTAATAGACTGTAATGATAGACGATAAAATTCTATAATTTCCAGTTTACTTAATTTATTTTCACGAAATCTGGTGAGCTTTTAGTAAACATTAAAAGTAGGTTGTATACAAAATGTCAGAATTTTCAATAAAATATTTCTACTAAAAATTGTCTCTTGCTAGTCTGAGTACAAGAATGAACTTATTTTGCTGGAGGGCAGTTTTGTTCGTAGAAACACGTACTGAATATTAGTATAAACACATATTCGGTGTCAGTACAAACACCGGCTGTGTGTCAGTATACACATGTATTGTATGTCAGTAAAATCACGTATTGTGTGTCAGTATAAATACGTACTGTATGTCAATATAAACATGTACTTATGTCAGTATAAAATGTACTGTATGTCAGCATAAACACGTACTGTATGTCAGTATAAACACGTACTGTATGTCAGTATAAACACTTACTGTATGTCAGTAAAATCACGTTTTGTGTGTCATTATAAACACGTGCTGTGTGTCAGTATACACATGCACTGTATGTCTTTACAAACACGTGCTGTATGTCAGTTGTGTTAAGCCTTTATAAATGCTAGATTGCAGCTGCCTAAACCTTAAACAAAGCCATATATATAAATCATGGCACTTGATAAAAAAATAAAATTCCAAACATTTAGGCCAAGGACATGAACATCGTATGCCATGTGTTTTCAAATGTTTATAAACCTTTTGGATATCGTAAGAAAGTCAAGAAACGTGACAACACTTAATGACATGTAGAAATATTATATATATATATAATTATCTTTTGTTTGGATGAAATATCTCACCTTTAGCTGTTGTTTCACAATCGCATTTGATGCATCCGTTCTCTTCTTCGCAACAGAGTGGACATGCTAAGGCACAAGTTGCAGTATCAGGGCACATGAAAGTTCCTGTTTTATCTGAAAGAAACAGGAAATCGCAAATGAAGCTACCACATATTCTTAATCTCAGCTTTAACCAGTTTATATTTCATGAAATCTGAGCTTTAACCAGTTTGTATTTCATGAAATCTGAGCTTTAACCAGTTTATATTTCATGAAATCTGAGCTTTAACCAGTTTGTATTTCATGAAATCTGAGCTTTAACCAGTTTGTATTTCATGAAATCTGAGCTTTAACCAGTTTGTATTTCATGAAAGCAAATGTCTTTGCTATATCTAAATTATAACCTACAAATGACAATATTTTACCATTTGTTAAATTAGAACCAATATTTTACCATTTGTTAAATTAGAACCAATATTTTACCGTTTGTTAAATTAGAACCAATATTTTACCGTTTGTTAAATTAGAACGAACATTTTTTTTAAAACTTGTCTTTAGTATGAATCATTTAGCTAATGACAAAATGAAAATTTTACTTACATTTCAATTAACTTCCTCATTGAACATTGTATGGTTATACGTAAGCTAACGGACATTGTATCCTAAACCAAAACAGTCGTTTTTATAACCAATGTTTCATATTTTATACCCTTTCGCGAGTGTCTGTTTCTACCATGCATCATCCTGTTTTGTAAAGCAGTAAATGAATTATTTAAATTTGGAATTACCGATAAACCCTCGCTTAGAATGAATATGATAGACGGTTAAATCAAAAATATTATGACGAGGCTTAAGAGAATAATTTTTGGACAAACTTCTGGGGTCTCAGTTTTAAGGTGTTCAGATTTTGTTTTTGGCAAAACCAAACGTATAACCTATGAAATATTGTTCAAATGTAATTAAAGAAACAGAAAAAAATTATCTGTTGATTTTTTTCTCAAATTAGAAAATCTATTCAAATGAAGAAGGTATGTTTTATATTTCAAATAAAGAAGGTATGTTTTATATTTCTTTAAAATAATCATAGCTTTGCTTTATTCATACTAATACACTCGTCTTAGCCCTCCAGTGGCACAGCGATATGTCTGCGGACTTACAACGCTAGAATCCTGGTTTCGATACCTGTGGTGGTCAGAGCACAGATAGCCCATTGTGTAGCTTTGTGCTTAATTACAAACAAACAAACAAGCACTCGTTTTAACATTGTTGTAATTACTATAACATTGTTTTATGCACACTTATACTGGCATTATTTGAATGATTACAATTTTTACGTATTACAATTTCGAATGGGCTGAGACCGAGCTAAATGATAATTTACATTTAGTAATTAAATAAATTCCGATATGTCTCCAATTTATGATATTTGCTAACAAGATTGATATACACAGTTTTCTTTGTTTTATACAAATGTGTTTTAATATATAAACAATAATACAATTTACAGTAACAGTTATTACAAACAGCTACTACAAGCAATGATTTATATACAAAAGTTTTACAAACTTACAAGCAATATAAAGTATTTTTTCTAGTCTGGAACTTTCTTGATGTCTTATCTAGGGTTCACAATGAGCGAGTTTAATTTTGAGTTGACGTAGGTACAATTCACTTAATAGGGAGCTAGCTAGCCCTGTGAAATTCACTGATCACACGCCGATTTTTTTCTACCGATGACGTTAGGTAAACGTTTTCGTAAAAGTAGAAATGTCCGATGTGAATCCACTGAAGTTAAATGGTTTGTAATGTTAGAAATTTATAAACTTTCCTGGTCAAATATCTTAAGTTTCTCGATTAATAAGCGTTATACCAATCACAGTTATAGCTTTCGAAGTTTATAGCACACCAAATATAACAAACCAATAATAGATACTGTTTTTTGGCGCGTCGCGTTGGTTATATTTATAGGTGTGTGGAGAATTTCTCGAAGATTCAGCTTACGTAACAATACTAACACGCTACACTAGCGTTTACATGCACACGTATATTGTTGATTCTTACACTCGAGAATCTTCTATAACTTTAGAGAATAGGCGGGAGTTTCGCAATACATATTGAACAGTATAAGTTATGTACATTTTTAACTATAAATGAATTTAAACAAACATCGATATTAAGATAAATGTATAATAATAAATCCGTCACACAAAATAATGTTATATTTATCAAAGAACTTCTAATGACATTTTAAAATCATTACAACATTATTTATACGTACCAACACACTTCTAGTGGCATTATTGTAACTGTTACAACATTGTTTTATACGTACCAACACACTTCCCGTGGCATTATTGCAACTGTTACCGGTACGTATAAAACAATGTTGCCACGAGAAGTGTGTTTAAAACAATGTTGTAACAGTTACAATAATTACGTACCAACACACTTCCCGTGGCATTATTGTAACTGTTACAACATTGTTTTATACGTACCAACACACTTCCCGTGGCATTATTGTAACTGTTACAACATTGTTTTATACGTACCAACACACTTTTCTTGACAATCTTGTAAGGTAAGAAAGTTATTTTTGTTTCCACCGCAGCCTGAATATAAGAAAGTTTCGCATTGTCCAGAGAGTGGGTTGTAGTAGTACTTTACTTGGGACTGGACACAGTGCCCATGGTCTGGATGTTCGTGACATAACTCTATGATAACAGAAATTGTCAGAAGGTCATTTTCTTTATTTATTCTTAATTACTTAATAAAAATTCATGCTTATTGGACTACGAACTACAAAATACTGACGTCACATGTTTGATTTTTTTTTATGAACTTATGCAAACACTTCTTTTGGCTGTCCTTAATATCCGTATCGTTTATCCTCGAATCCGTGTTTGGTACACTTAAGTATGTATCCCGTATACATTAGTTCGTTTTCCAAAGAATTAACAACGATGCACGGAAAATTAACTTAGAAAATAAATCGTAATTAATTCATTTATTTTATTACTTGATTCCCAGCCTTGTTCGGAGTCGAGCGCGTCATCTGGTTCATAATGGTTGAGATCACAGTCTGAAGAAAAAAAAAAAAAAAAAACAAAAACGGGCAGATG